CCTCGTGACAGCAGCGCGCTGGGATTGGGCTTCAATCCTAATCCTAAGGGGTTGGGGGTTTAGGGTTTAGGGGTTTAGGGTTTAGGGTTTAGGGGTTTAGGGTTTAGGGTCCTAAACGACCACGTCCAATCTCCCGAATGCCACAGCGCATTCGACGACCGAAACTCCAACATCACAAGTAGAAGACCGGGTTCTAGTTTGGGGGCCCCGAAAAGTATTTATGAAGAGGTACCTCTATAGAAGCCATAAGGGAAACTTTCAAAGTTTCCCAAGCTGCCACCTAGAACAGCAGCCCCACAAGAAAAGCAGCCCCAACAAGGAAAACATAGCCAAAGGAGCTTTCAGGCTCTGTTGGGAAACGCAGTCCTGGAAGGTCGCCGCGCTTGGGTCTTGTACCTTATGAACCCCAAATCGAGGCTCCAAATACCCTCGCAGCACAGGAAGAGCAAGAGCAAAAGCAAGAGCAGCAAAGCAGCAGCAAGAGCAAAGCAAAAGCCAGAGTGAGAGTAAGAGCACCAGCAAAAGCGGCAGTAAGACCAAGGCCAGGAGCAGGCTCACGGACGAAAGCCAGCGCGAGAGCAAGAGCACAACCTAGCAATAGAAATACCAATACCCCCTAACAATAAAAACCCTTTCCGAGCTGTTGGGGGCAACTCCCTCCCCACGTTTTATCTTAGGGGGGAAATGATTAGTATGGTTTGGGCACGCATTCCCCATACCCATAGGCCCCATAGTCGTTCCTTTTTGGGATTACCTTATAGGCTTCTAACTTCTAAATACGAACCTCAAAAAGGAACTACTATGGGGCCTCTGGGTATTCCCTAAACCCTAAAACCCTAAAACCCTAAACCCTATAGACCCCTTTAGACCCCAAAAAGGAACTACTATGGGGCCTCTGGGTATTCAGTACTTAGAGCCCTTTGGATCATCTAGCGTTATAGCAAGATCGTGGTCAGAGGCTTCTTTGGGTCCGGGCCTCTTCTTGGTTTAGGGTTTAAGGTTTAGGGTTTAGGGTTTAGGGCTTAGGGTTTAGGCTTTAGGGTTTAAGGCTTAGGGTTTAGGGTTTAAGGCTTAGGGTTTAGGGTTTAAGGCTTAGGGTTTAGGGCTTAAGGCTTAGGGTTTAGGGTTTAGGGGTACTGAATTGGCTGGTTTGGCTTAGGCGGAACTCCTCTGCAAGTTGATTCGAGAGGCTAGAGCTACAGGACGATGTAAGTTACAAGAGAACCTACACACCTACCCCGGGCCCAACAGGTTTAGGGTTTAGGGTTCCGGGTTTAGGGTTTTACATTGCCATCGTAAAGCCAGTCCCCAAACGCGCCTATTTATGGTCTTTGGCAACCTGATACCATACTTCCTAAACCCTAAACCCTAAACCCTAAACCCTTGGATGATCATATACTTTTGTCTTCAGGAGTCCTCAAGGGTTTCCGAGTTGACCCACGATGCTGAGGCTTACCCCATATCTTCTACTCCACAAACCACAAGTCGCAAAAACCAAGACTCTCAAGTCCAAAGCCTACTATAGGCGCCTTCATAATTAGAATAGGGTGTTGAGAAATACTTATAAGGAAGCCCCAAAATAGTATTGGTAATTATTTAGGCCCCTATACTACGATACGTCAGGGACCTGACATTCCAAACCCGCAAACAGCTCCTTCGTGAGCACTTCCATGTCGGTACACAGCTTCGACAGAGCCTCCGAGCATGCTGGCGTTCTTCTGCGAGGGCACCCGGAAAACCATGAACACAAAGACTAAAGCCCCTTTGGAGCACGCGGTTAGCTCAATGCTTTGTAGAGGCGTGAAGGATGGAAGCCTTGAAGAGTTTCAGCAGGATATTCGAACATACTGTAGCAGACATGTATCCATGCAGTACTCTGATGAGCACCCATGTACTGGATGCAAAACAAACTCCTGCACCCCAGATCCAAAAGCCAAAGATGCGTGACAAGCCCTCCAATACTGTCTGGTGCTTAGTAGGGAATGGGGGACTGGATCCCTATGATAGTCCCTTAAGGTCCCTTATAGTAGTCCCTATAACTATACCCCATTCCTCCATCAGACAGAATACTCAGTCTTAGTAATAGGATGTAGGCAAGAGCAGATGTCCCCACCTCTGCAGTGTGCTCCCGACGTTCTCGCCGTAGCTCTTTCTGCGATGTCAATATGCACTTCACCCTTTTCATGACCATGTGGGTAGTTCTCTAAAGGTCCCTTTTAGGGTCCTGTTAAAAAGGGTGCCGTACTATATTGGGGACCTAAAAGAGGACCCCAATATAGAAGACTACCCATCTGCAGGGTCCTAGATTCTGGATGAACTCCCACCGTCGAGCCCTTGGGCTTCAGACTTCCGAACTTTGTGAGACTCGAGGTCAAGGCCGCAGCATCAAATTTGGGAGGTTGCTTCGGTAATCGTAAACTTGGGGGGATAACGTCTTGCTCAAGACGGGGCCAAGTCCTTCCGCCACAGCCCTAAACCCTAAACCCTAAACCCTAAACCCTAAACCCTAAACCCTAAACCGCCACAGCCCTAAACCCTCATCCCCAAGAGCCTACTGCGTTGTGACCTTGATTGCTTCTTTGCGCTTTGGTTCTTCATCGGCTTTGGGCTTCCAGGGATGATAGCAAGGATTTATGGTTTTATGTGGTCTTATGTTTAGGGTTCAGGGTTTAGGGGTTTAGGGTTTTGGGGTTTAGGGTTTTGGGGTTTAGGGTTTTGGGGTTTAGGGTTTAATGTTTAGGGTTTAGCGTGGAGAGGTGGCTCGGAAGCTTTGAAATAAAAGACTCCATGAAGCCACGAGCACATGGGTAGTTCTCTGAATTAGGGTCCCTTTGGGGGTCCTTTTTATAAGGCTGCCGTACTCTATTGGGGACCCTTTAAAACGGACCCTAATTTAGAAAACTACCCGTAGACTTTGAAGTAACCAGGCCTTAAGGAACAGGTCCCAAAAAAAGTATTCAAGTATGGTAATCCAGAACCCAGACCCACATAGCAGAAAGCTGGTGCTGCGGACCCTTGGACCCGACCTTCAGGCCCCGGGACCCCACTGAGACTAAATCGTGGTGTTGACACTGTGCCTTTATTTAGGCGCCTTGATAATTTAACATTAACAATTAGAATAGGGTTGGTTTTAGGGTATATTATATTATACTATAATTATACTAAGGAACCCCCAACACACAGAATTGGTAATAATTTAGGCCCCTACATTAACCCTATAAACCCTAAGCCCGAACACCTCGGAGCCCGAAGCTGCGAACCTAAGACTCGCATAGCTGATCCCAGTTAAAAACTCCTCTCCCCACTGAGCTAGGGTTTAAGGTTTAGGGTTTAGGGTTTAGGGTTTAGGGTTTAGGGTTTAGGGTTTAGGGTTTAGGGTTTAGGGTTTAGGGTTTAGGGTTTAGGGTCTACAGGGTTGGATTTGTTTAGAGGGTTTGGGTATAGGGCTCCGAGACCCCAAACCCCAAACCCTAAACACCCTGAGCCATAAACCTTGTTTTAGGGTTCAGGTACAGGGCTTGAGGGGTTGAGGTTCGGGCGTAGGTCCGATGTCGGGTTTTGATCCGAGGGCCACTGGACTTTTCACGCGGTCATCGTTGCGGGGGTTACAGGGCTTGATATAGGGGCCTTAACAAATAGTATAGGGTTTGCGGGGCATATTCTTGTACTATAGTTATAATAAGGAACCCAAAAATAGTATAGGAAATTCTTAAGGCCCCTATATACATTACTTGTGCTGGATCTCGGAGTTTCTGTGTCGGTGGTTCGGCTGACCGAGCCTATGCAAAACATGCAGCCGATATCCTGAACTCTAAGCTCTGAAGAGGGGTGGGTGAGGGGGGCAAGTCCAGACTCTTAGCCCCTGCTTTTCCTAATACTACCTGAGAAGCTTACATGCAGACAAGGCGCCATCTCGGAAGAAAGTATCTGGACCTGATCAGCTTAAACTGGCTTAAACCCTAAACCCAAAGCCACGGTTTAGGGTTGAGGGCGCTATTGAAAGCTGCCACCTCTAGCAGACCGTCAGGCTCCAAGAGATCCGAATCAGCAGCCCAAAGCAACACAACTCTTCGACGCAGAACTCGCAGTCTAAGCGGTGCCCTGATGCACTGTACGAGCGTCTAGACTAGACCCCATCCCTAGAACGATGTGGATGCACATGGAAGAACAAAGACACGTGTCCAAAACAGCCACGCAAATCCCCATCACCACGCATGCGGGTGGCCAGGGACCCGGATTTTGGCTGGATTTAAGATGCTGGGAATTCGTGGTTCTGCGGCCGTCTGGGTTCATTGTGAATTCGAGACGGGGGTGTGTTTGCCGAGACTCTTTGATACTTGTTCCTTCGCGTCTCCTGATCTGATGCACATTACAACGGGACCATAGCCCAGAGCCCGAAACTTCGAATTCCGTGCTTGCACAGCAGCTATGCCCATAGGCCCCATAGTAGTTCCTTTTTGGGATTACCTATTAGGATCCTAAATACAAACCACCAAAAGGAACTACTATGGGGCCTATGGGTGAATAGTATTTGCAAGCCCGACTCCCTGTCACTAAGAATCAACCCACACCAGTTCAGGCCAGGGCTTCGGTTTAGGGGTTTAGGGTTTAGGGTTTAGTGTTCGAGGGTTTAGGGTTTTAGGGTTTAGGGTTTAGGGTCCACTCAGAGAAAAGCAGCGCTAAGTCCTAAACCCCGAAACCTTTAGTGAGGGAACAGCGGGCGCTTGGCACTGCGTGGAGCCGGCCTCGGCGTTGGTGAAGTCGCGCAGAGCCCTCAGCTCGCGCGAAAAGAGCACCTCGAGTGCTCTTAAATCGGTGTACTTGCCTAAACCCTAAACCCTAAACCCCTAAACCCTAAACCCTAAACCTGTTCGGGCTTAGGGTTCAGTTTAGGGGTAAGGGTTGGGGTTTAGGCTCCCTCTTGCAGGGTTCCGTCTCCAGGGATCTAAAAGGGTTGCCGTAAGGCTTCTACTAAAAGGGCCTCTTCAGTTCGGTTTAGGGTTTAGGGTTTAGGGTTTAGGGTTTAGGGTTTAGGGTTTAGGGTTTAGGGTTAAGGGTTTAGGGTTTAGGGTTTAGGGTTTAGTTAGAACAAGGTTTGTTGAAGTATCGTTGGATTCTGGTCCCTAAACCCTAAACCCTAAACCCAAATGGAGAGTGTAGGTAAAGATTCTAGCCCTATATTGCTTCAGGAGTTTGGGGGGTGCCGGGGTTGAGGTTTACTAGGCGCTTCACGTAGTTGCCTTAATGATTACAATAGGGTCTTGGGGTATATTAAATGATACTTATAATGAAGACCCCCCCCCAAAAAAAAAAAAAACGGTTGATGATATAAATCCTGCATTACCCATCGTAAGGAACATACCCTAATTCCCATAGCGCAGGGTCCTTAAGGTAATGCAGCATCTATATCACCAGCAGTAGTATAGGTGATTGTTTCGGCCCCTATAGAAGGCTTCAAGGTAAAGGGGGCTCCTTGTCTTGGCGGGGTTTTTTAAGTCGAAAGTTCAAGTTTAGTGTGTGTTCTGGGTTTAGGGGTCAGGGTTTAGGTTATGGGGTGTAAGGCTCATGTGGCGTAGGGCACCTACAGTTTATAGTTCACTGCAGACTTGTACGAGTTGTGGAAAATCTTCCCCCCAAACCCACAGGCTATAAAACCTAAACCCTGTACTGTAAACCCTCAACCCCCTAAACCCCATAAGCCCTAAACCGTAAAACCCTATAAACCTAAACCCTATAAACCCTAAACCCTATAAACCCCCTAAACCCTATAAACCCAGAGCCCTAAACTCCCTAAACCGCCTAAACCCTATAACCCCCAAACCCTACAAACCCTAAACCCCCTAAACCCTATAAACCCTGAACCCTCTAAACCCTGTAACCCTGTAAATCCTATAACCCTGAACCCTATAAACCCAGAGCCCTATAAACCCTAAACCCCCTAAACCCTATAAAACCCTAAACCCTAAACCCCCTATAAACCCTAGACCGATTTCTCGGGCCTCCATCTCTCGGCGGGCAAGGTGAAGCTGCTCTTCTACATCCTCGTGAAAGCGGAGCCAGGGGGGTTGCTTTGGGCTCTGGATTTAGGGTTTAGGATTTAAGGTTTACGGGTTTGGGGTTCAGGATTTAGGGTTTAGGATTTAAGGTTAAGGGCTTAGGGTTCAGGATTTAGGGTTTAGGATTTAAGGTTAAGGGCTTAGGGTTCCGGATTTAGGGTTTAGGATTTAAGGTTTAGGGTTTAGGATTTAGGGTTTATAGGATTTAAGGTTAAGGGTTTAGGGTTCAGGAAGGCATATTTTGAGGATTGGGAGTTCTGGGATTTATGAGGGGGGAGGGAGGTTCCTCAGTGTGTTGGCTGCCTTATCGCCCCATCTGTTGTGGTTTAGGGTTTAGGGTTTAGGGTTTAGGGTTTAGGGTTGACCGGCCAACAAAACCCTAGCCAATGAAGGAAGACTGGCTGACTGACTGACTCAGTGAATGAAAGCATCTACGAATGACGCAGAATTCTCTTAGTACTTCTCAGTGTTAGTCTGCTGCCTGTCTCATTATTGTGACTACTTACAACACTTTATAACTACGAACTATTCCCTAAAGCCTAGACCCCTATAAACCCTAAACCCTAAACGCCAATTCCTAAAGCCTAAACCCTATAAACCCTATACCCTAAACCCTGAATTCCCTAAAGTTCACACTTATAACCCCTAAACCCTAAACGCTAATTCCTAAAGCCTAAACCCGCGTAGTATTCCACCCAAAGGCAGCTTGTCGGGCGGGCCTTCCGGAGCGAGCGCTTCAAGAGTGACAACAGATAACCGTCCTGCGGGGCTTATAAGGTTGTAGGGTCTATAGGGTTTATCGGGTTTAGGAGTTTGGGTTTTAGGGCAGAGGAGTTCGGGGTTTAGCAGTTTAGGGTTTAGGGTTTAGGGCCTATAAGGTTTACGGTTTAGGGTAGGGGGCTTCGGGGTTTAGGAGTTTAGGGTTTAGTGCATAGAGGGTTCAGGGTTTAGGAGTTCAGGTTTTAGGGTAGGGGTTTCGGGGTTTAGGAGTTTAGGGTTTAATGCCTATAGGGGTCAGGGTTTAGGAGTTCAGTTTTAGGGTAGGGGGGTTCGGGGTTTAGGAGTTTAGGGTTTAGGGCCTATAGGTTCAGGGTTTAAGAGTTTAGGTTTTAGGGTAGGGGGGTTCGGGGTTTAGGGTTTAGGGCCTATAAGGTGTAGGGTTTAGGAGTCTAGGGGTTAGGGTCTAGGGTTCGGGGTTTGGGAGGTTAGGGTTTAGGGTCTAGGGTTCGGGATTTAGGAGTTTAGGGTTTTGCGATTATTGGAGCTTGGGAGTTTATTTGACAGCTCTCTTGTTGAATTCATTTTGTTCGTCCAATGAGGACATTCAAACAACTGCGGGGTGCTGTGCTTGCGAGGGAGGGTTGATGCAGAAGGCCATGGCAGAACTCTACCCACGAAAACTCTCCCGAAAAGGTACGCAAAACGCAATGAACGACTCATATTGAAACAACCAACAGACAAGGCTTGTGTTTGTGACTGGGCGCGTCGGGGCGTCAAATGCGACATTCCTAGCACTTTCCGGGGCTGGGAGGTGGACTTGGTAACAAGTGTTATATGTGGGGGGGGGGGCCTTTTGGCACGAAGTCCTGCCCAATAATTCCAACCGGAAACCGTAAATCCAAGCCTGAGAATCGCGGCCCCAATGCAATGCACTAAGACCCTGATAACCCATAAACCCTTAATCCGCAACTTCCGAACCCGGTCCAAGCCCGAAAGACCCGACATAGCGAAGGCGAACAGGGACCCCACCATAGAACCTGCATAGCACGCTCCTTCTAACAAGGTCCTCTGTTAACCCCAGGACCGAATTTTCTTCGGAAACCCCACCAGATTTCCCCTATATCTAGGGTCCCCCACAAGCCCTCAGGGGTTCAGGGTTTAAGGGTGTTGGAATCTAAACCCTAAGGGGTTTAAGGCTTGGGGCTTGGATTTGGGTGGTATAAGAACCCCCTCCCCCTCTGAATCGCACTGCTCGCTATGAGCTTTAAGCCTTCAGGGCATCCCGAACTGTAAGAACCCTCCAGAACATCGCACTCCTAAACCCCAAACCCTAAACCCTAGACCCAAATTCAAAACCCACAAACCCTAAACCCTGAACCCTAGTCCCTAAACCCTGAACCCTAAACCCTAAACCCCTAAACCCCTAAACCCTAAGCCCAAAGCCCTAAAAACCCTAACCTTTATCCCCAACTCCAAAAACCAGGAGCACCTACAAGCCCCCTAAACCCCAAACCCTGAACCCCAAACCCCAAACCCTAAACCCTAAACCCCAAACCCTACTCCTTGCGCAGCTTGTCGACCACTTGCTGCTCCAGGGTCGATATCGCGGGTGGCGAATCGAACTGCCAAGGCGGCGAAGGATCGCTTTAGGGTTTAGGATTTAGTTGAGGTTTAGGGCTTAGGGTTTAGAACTTAGTAAAGGTTTAGGTTTTAGGGTTTAGGGTTTAGTTAAGGTTTAGGGTTTAGGGCTTAGGGTTTAGGGTTTAGGGTTTAGGATTTTAGTTAAGGTTTAGGGTTTAGGGTTTAGGATTTAGTTAAGGTTTAGGGTTTTGGGTTTAGGATTCAGTTAAGGTTTAGGGTTCAGGGTTTAGGGTTTAGGATTTAGTTAAGGTTTAGGGTTTAGTTAAGGTTTAGGGTTTAGGGTTTAGGGTTTAGGGTGTAGTTAGGGTCTAGGGTTTAGGGTTTAGTTAAGGTTTGGGTTTAGCGGGGTTTAGGGTTTAGGGTTTAGGGTTTAGGCGTCTTTAGGCCGCTACACTGTATGGGTTTAAGGGACCTCCTCAAGCACCCAAATAGTAGGATCCTCATTACAAGGGCCCCAAAATAAGGTACCCATAATTTTCGGAAACTCCTACATACAGAGCCCCATAAAGACCTCCTCCATAGCCCCTTGCGTATAATAGGGAACCCCCAAAATAACATAGGTAATTCTTTAGGCCCCACACATTGTATGGGTTGAAGGGACCTCCTCAAATTCGTCCCTTGCGAAGCCTCAAAACCCCAAGTTTGCAGTCGGAGAGATGGCAAGCACTAGAATTAAAGGAAGCTACAGGTGGGGAGTTTAGGGTTTAGGGGATTAGGGTTTAGGGTTTAGGGGTTTAGGGTTTAGGGTTTAGGAAGCTGCAGGTGGGGAGTTTAGGGTATATGGGGCTTTTATAAGGCTTCTATAAGGTATATAGACCATCTATAAGGCTCCTATGACGGTAACTACCCACCTGAAAATGTCCTAGATGGAATTCATCAAGCGAGAGATAAACCCCTAAACCCCAAACTTTAAACCCATGCAATGTAGGGGCCTAAATAATTACCTATATCATTTTGGGGGTTCCTTATTATAACTATAGTAAAATATACCCCAAAACCCCCTTCTAATTATTAAGGCCCCTACATTAATTTGGGTTATTGCCATGCCGAGGTTTGAGGGGTCGGGGCTCAATTACCGGCTCAAGGTTACTGCACTTCGGGTACTGGTTTGGGGTTCAACGGCAACAGGTTTCCAGTTTTGGGTTTCGGGTTTAGGGTTAGGGTTTAGGGTTTAGGGTTGAGGGCTATCGGGAAGTGAAGATTCGAATGTGGCCCACAAAACCGAACGGAGCTTTTGCAGATTGGATCCGGCCTAAACCCGCAAACCCTAAACCCTAAACCCGTA